GTTACAAAGCTGCGACAGAACAAAGCTGAACATGCTGCCTCTCGTCAGGGACTGAGTATGCTAACACGCAGTGACAGAGGACAAACAGAGCGTGGTTATGCCTCAAATATGTCCCATTGTTATCATAGGCAAATTTCTTTTTCACCGCTGGCAGCTATAAAGGTGGTATGCTCGTTCTGTGAAGGATGTTTAACACCTCTGGGTTGTTGATCAATTCCAATCACCCTAACCTCAGCCTGGCATCGTTCGAACGCAACAGCCCAGACTAAACCGTAACCGCAAGAGGGGGAGGGTTGGCGCTGTTTCATGCTCTTGTTCCAGTCGTCGCCTGCTCATCATAAAAGTTGAGCCGTTTGCTAAATCTCTACAAAACTGCAGTTGCTTTTTTGTCGTAGGATATATTCAATTATCCTTGCATATTAAATCCTTATCCGTTCTATTTGTTCCAGGGAAATAAGAAACTTGGCCTTATTCCTGATAATTGGTCTTGTTTCGGTTCAATCGCAAATGGGTTATGGAAAATCAGTGAATACAGCTTATTCCCAACAGAGCCAACTTTGTTCGTCAAACAGAGTTTATGTCTGTGATGCCTGAGTTTCTAGGAGAATCTCGTCATTCTACGATTGGCCTAACGTCTCTTGCCTACAGTCGTAACTGCATATCGTGAAAAGCAAGAAACAGCCACAGGAAGGGATTAGCTTGGTAAGTAGTACAGAAGTACAGTAATGCATTTTTCACTCGGCTATTTCGGTGTGGACCTCCTGAACATCCCTCACGAAAGTGCAAACGGTCAACCGACAGCGTAGTTGCAACCAAGGAAATACAACGCGGAACGTCGCCTTATTCCTTTTACCGTAAACCTACACAGAAACATTAGTGGTCAATTTGTGGTCATTGCCAGCATTTATTCCCAGAAACGGCACGACGAGTTTCTTTCACGTAGCCAATCCCTGAGCAGAGGATGGAGCAATGACCTAAGTTACTTCAGAATGTGGGCAACCAGGCTAACATGTGTAAAGTACTCTAAGCGGAAGGAAAGAAGAAAAGTAAAGTTCAATTTACAACCGTTGAAATGTCGGTCTTCGTTATACTTTCACGACTGGATCATTCAGGGGCTCTGCGTTTCATGAAGTTAACGGTAGGGGCGCTGATCCGTTGATCCGTATCATCAGTCCGGAGTGCTCTATTTTAGTGGTGGCAAAGTCGACAGCAGCTACGTGGCAGGCATACTGTGTCGTTTCCTGTGCACGTCCCATTGAGCGGTACTCACTCAGCAACCTTGGGACCTACCGC